TCTGTATTACATTAATCAAATTAAACTGTATTACATTAATCAAATCATTTAATATTATTAAATTTAATATTAAAATATTAAATTATAAATTATGTGTATATGTGTATGTTTGTATGAGAGTTTGTCATGTGAGTACAATGCTTATGGAGGCCCCAAAAGGCTGTTAGACCCCTGGAGTTACAGGTGGTTTTAAGCTACCTGATGTGGGTGTTAGGAACTGAACTTGGGTCCTCTGGAAGAGCAGTACATACTTTTAACTGCTGACCTTTCTCTCCAGCTTCCACAGCTGCCTTTTATAAGGTTGAGAAGGCTCCTCCTCCTTTACAATTTATTGAGTTTTCATCAGGAAACTAATCGTGTATTTTTATTTGTTGTTATTTTAATTTGCTATATAGCACATTAATGGATTACTGGATATTAAACTAGCCTTGCATTCCTTGCCGATGAAGGATAAACCCCATTTGGTCATGGTGTAAAGTCCTTGTAAACTGCTTTTGGAGTCAGTTTGCTAACGTCCATTCAAGGGTTTTTATATCTGTATTCCATGGGTGTTGGTTGTAGTTTTCTGTTGTAATCTTGGCTATGTATTGGGGTAACAGTGACCTCAAACAGCCAGTTGGCAAGCATTTCCTCAGAATTTGTGCAGGGTGGTATTTTTTTTCCATGAATGTTAGCTAGAATTCAGTAATGAAGTCACTAATTTTTCTACTAGGATTTTATTTGTGGGAGGATTCTAAACCACAAACTCCATTCTTTACATGATATAGTTCTACTCCAAGTTTTTACTTATTTTGTTTTCTTAGAAAAATTCCATATATGTATGAACGTTCTGCCTGCTTATCTGTATGTGCACCACATGCATGCAGTATCCATGGAGGCCAGAAGAAGGTATTGGATCCTCTGGAACTGGAATTTCAGGTGGTTGTAAGCAGTCATGTGGGTGCTGAGAACTGAACATGGGTCCTTTGCAAGAGCAGCAAGTGCATTTAACTGCTGAGCCTTCTCTGGAGCACTAAAAGTTTTTTCTCTTTCTCTCTCTCTCTCTCTCTCTCTTGGTTTTTCGAGACAGGGTTTCTCTGTAGTTTTTGGAGCCTGTCCTGGAACTAGCTCTTGTAGACCAGGCTGGCTTCCAACTCACAGGGATCTGCCTGCCTCTGCCTCTGCCTCCTGAGTGCTGGGATCGAAGGTATGCACCACCACCGCTAGGCTAAAAGTTTCTATTTTTTGACCTATGCTAACTTCTTTTGAGGTATTTGCCCAAAAGGTCATGACAATCCTTTGCCATCCTTTTGAAGTCACTGCCCTTTGACTTTCTCATGCTCATTATTCTGGACATCCATCTACTTTTGTGTGTGTTTTGGGCCTGTGAGTCCAGGTCGTAATTATGGAAGGCAAGTGCATCTACCCCTGAGCTACATCCTCTGAACTTTTGTTGCTCACACACACACAGCAGTTCTGATTTCAGTGTGCTTTGGAAGTATAGGTGCTTTGAGGTCCATTATGCTTTAAGCGTGGTTGCCATTGTCTGTTTTATGGCTGTGGCCTCTGCTCCTGGCTGCTTTCTGGACAGGCACAAAGCCTCACATAGACACTGTGGACTTTTTAAAAGTGAAAAGGTGATGTGGGAGTGTCATATATCAATCTGTTGATTTCATTGGTTAATAAACAAACTGCTTGGCCTCATAGCTTAGAACATAGGTGGGTGGAGTAAACAGAACAGAATGCTGGGAGGAAGAGGAAGTGAGCTCAGAGACCCGACAGCTCTCCTCTCGGGGGCAGACGCCTCAGAGAGACGCCATGCCCCGCTTCCGGGCAGACGCACGCGATGAAGCTCCGACCCAGGATGTATGTAGGCTAGAATCTTCCCGGTAAGACCTGTGCTCACTGATTATTAGAGATGAGTTGATCAGGATATCAGAATTAGCCAGTAAGGGCTAGAGCTAAAGGGCCAAGCAGTGTTTAAATGAATACAATTTGTGTGTTGTTATTTCAGGGCATAAGCTAGCCAGGCAGCTGGGGTGCTGGGGATGCAGCCCCGCCACTCCTATCACTACAAAAAGGGTCTAACTTCCATATTATCCCCATGCGATTTATGATCTGGGCCTGAATTGTGTGAGTTCACAGTTTGCAGACCTGGGCTGTTTTTTATGTGCTGTGAGATAGTGGATGGACAGGTGGGCAGCAGGGTGCGGTCAGCCTCTGTCCCAGATGGTGGTCAGGGTGGCCAGTAGGGCCATGCTTTTCCCTTGTTTACTTCTGGTGTCAGACCAGCTCCAGAGTTACAGTGTACACAGTGCTTGTTTGTGTTGTGTCCAGTTGTGTGTGGCGGCTGAGTGTGGCAGGTATAGAGAGTGGGAACGTGCAGGGCCCTAGGGTCCACTGGCAGGTTCCTTCTGGGCTGCCCAAACTAAAGCTTTCCTTGGTGACACCTCCCTGAGGCCTCTTCATGTTCAAGGATGATTTTCTAAGCTGTGACATGGTGTTTGAGAGGTGACAGTTAAGGGCCCAAGTCCTAGGTTGCCATTCATTTGCTCTGAGTGTGTTGAAGAAATGCCATCTGTGGTTGTTGGGTCTCTAGAGAGAAATGAAGTTATGGGGACTTGTGTCGAGGATGATCACTCATGGACTGGAGTTGAGCTGGTGGAAAGAGCTGAAGGAAGACAGTGTGGCTTCCGCTAAGGGGTTGTGACTGCCAGCATTTTGAATCCGTGGTTGGTTGGTCCCAGTTTCCATGTGAGAGCTGAAGCAGCTGGGTTGTCTTAGCCCACTAGAGACTAGAGCTTACCTCTGCTCTAGTGCCTGGCACAGCTTGTGCCGCAGGACCCTTGTCTGGAAAGATTTTAGAGTTTGTGCCTTGTGATGCCCCAGCTTTCAGGTGAGACTCCCCATTGTCACTACCTGTTCTGCTTGAGCAGCTTGACAGTCTGGGGAGTCAACAAGCACCAGACTTCTGGTCTCTATTAATAGCACTGGGTGGAGCTGGAACTTGACATCAGGACCCGGGTTTTATGTTTTAATGTGTGTTTAATGTGTGTTTGTGTGGATGCTTATATGTGTGTGTCTGTGGATGTTTATACGTGTGTGTGTGTATGTATGTGTGTGTGTGATGTTTGTGTATGCCTGTGAGGACCAGCAGGAAGGGTCCAATGCAGATGACTAGACACTGATTGGACCTGAGTTTGCTTTTGGTGCATGTGTATATGTGTTGCTATATGCCATTACATGTATTTATGCTGGTTTTAAATGCTTATAACTTGTGTGTCTAGATGTGTAGATGTGTTTATGCTCATGTTTTATTTGCCTGTTTGTTTCTTGAGACAGGGTTCTTGTGTAGCTCTGGATACCTTGGAACTTGCTGCGTAGACCAGGGTGGCTGCGAGCTGATGGTGATCCTCTTGTCTCCATCTCTCAAGTGATAGGATTGTAGGCGTGAACCACATGTCCACTTGTGCTTGTGCTTTGCATGTGTGTAAATGTGTGGAGTCAGTGTGGCACCAGGACTCTAGTGAAAGAGAACTGGTGTTCCAGTGAGAAGTACCAGAATTCTGTAGTGATATGAGCGGCGGTGCTGCTTTCCACCACCCAGCTAGCTTATGCCCCAAAATAATTACACGGAAACTGTATTCTTTTAAATACTGCTTGGCCCATTAGTTCCAGCCTCTTATTGGCTAGCTCTTACATATTGATCTAACCCATTTTTAATAATCTGTGTAGCCCACGAGGTGGCTTACCAGGGAAGATCTTAACCTGCGTCTGTCTGGAGTGGGAGAATCATGGCGACTCCTTCGGCTTCTTTCTCCCAGCATTCTGTTCTGTTTACTCTGCCTATCTAAATTCTACCCTATTAGAGGGCCAAGCAGTTTTCTTTATTAGTTAACCAATAAAAGCAACAGATAGAAAGATGACCCTCCTCCATCAGAGTTCTAGTGAGGACCAGTGTTTCAGTGAGGGTCAGTGTTCTTAAAAAAAATTATTCATGTGTGCGTGGTGTGTGTGTGTGTGTGTGTGTGAATTTGGTGCATGCTTGACATAATGCGTGTGTAGAAGTCAGAAACAGATTCCAGGAGATCAGGATCAGTGTTCAGTTCTAACTGAAGGGCCAGTGTTCTGGTAAGCACCAATAATCTAGCGAGTATGCTAGAGAGAAGGACTTAGTTCTCGTGAAGTCAGATAGTTGTCTGCTGCTGCCCTGCAAATCTAGCACTGTGTACAGGGGGGTCTGCATGCTGTATGGCTGCGTCACAGGGAGGGTGAGTTGGGAGGTGCTAGGTCCAGTGGTAAGCTGTGGCAGAGGATAGAGGACTTCTGTGGAAGGCGAGGAGGGCGGAATCCTCCTGGGTTGGCTAAGGTGGTGAGAGAGGAAGAAAGACTTCCGTGGCTTCTCACCTTGGTGTGGATCCTCTGGTCTACAGCTCAGAGTTTGTACACAGATGACAATGATGAGACTTTGCACCTCTCTTTAGTTCAGTCTGTACGTACTGCAGGTTAGGATCAGAGCCCCTTGGAGAACTAGACTCCATTGGTGTGCTCTTGCTATGAGCAGACCTGTTGGAGGATTCCTTTTCTATACTTCCCTCTATCAGGAACTGACTTTCTTCACCCGGTGTTAGGTGGGCTTTTCTGTCCTGCCAGCCAGTTCCCAAATAACCACACAGAGACTTCTTATTAATTATCCAATAGCTAAGGCTTGTTATTAGCTAACTACATTAGCCCATATTTCTTAATCTGTGCTCGGCCATGTGGCTCAGTGTAGACCTTGTCCTCTTTTTCCTAGTGTCTTCTTAGTCTGGTTCTCCCACCTAACGGACCTTATCCTGTGCAGCTATAGGCCAGTCAGCTTCTTTAGTAAGCCAGTCACAGTGACATATATTCACGTGGTATAAAGGAGTATTCTACAAGTGTATGCTCAGCAAACATTCTGGAAGATGTGATGAGCTTGTTCTGATAACTTGTGTACATTTTAAACTTAGAAATGTATTTAAAGTATATTATTTTTTCAGGCTCAAATATTTAAGCATGGAAAACGTGAAGATTGTCTACCCTATGGTAAGATTAATTTAAAGAACAATATAAATATACTGCTCTGAGTTTGTGTGCTTCTGTGACACAGTGTATATAACAGTGTGTGTGTGTATATATATATGTAATAGTATATATATATATATATATAAAACAGTATTGTAACAGTACATATAACAGTATTACAACAGAATAAACATACTGCTGTGGGTTTGTGTGCTTCCGTGACACAGTGTATATAAATGTGTGTGTATATATGTAACAGTGTGTGTGTGTGTGTGTGTGTGTGTATATATATATCAGTATTGTAACAAAATAAACATACTGCTGTGGGTTTGTGTGCTTCCGTGACACAGTGTATATAAATGTGTGTGTATATATTTAACAGTGTGTGTGTGTGTGTGTGTGTGTGTATATATATCAGTATTGTAACAAAATAAACATACTGCTGTGAGTTTGTGTGCTTCCGTGACACAGTGTATATAAATGTGTGTGTATATATTTAACAGTGTGTGTGTGTGTGTGTGTGTGTGTATATATCAGTATTGTAACAAAATAAACATACTGCTGTGAGTTTGTGTGCTTCCGTGACACAGTGTATATAAATGTGTGTGTATATATTTAACAGTGTGTGTGTGTGTGTGTGTATATATATATCAGTATTGTAACAAAATAAACATACTGCTGTGAGTTTGTGTCCTTCTGTGACACTTTTGCTCAAGCATGCACCTGTAGCTTTGTATATTTGGACACTGTCAGGTCTTTGACTTTCTGGTTTTTGTTTCTTAATGTAACTATGATAATAGGAAATTGCTAGAGGCTCTGTAGTGAAGAGCTGAGTTTTGCAATGCTCCAAGTGCCCTGACTTAATCGTGGAGGGCCCTGGTCATTGTAGACTTGGTCCTACTATGGGACCTGGGACCGTAGAGCTGCTTTGTTTTCCTGTGTCACCGTCCCCCATTGCTTCACCCCCCTCCATATCTTAGCGCTTCTTCCCGTGAGTCATCCCGTATACTCATTGCTCTGTCCCTCTCACCTTCACCGTTTCATTTCTCCTTCATGTCCCTCCCCAACTCTCCCTCCCCATCGCCCCCTCCTCACTACACCCTCCCCCTCACCCCTCCCTGTTATTCCCTCTCCATCAGTCATCACTTCATCCCCTCCCCGCATCCCCTTATCCCCTCATCCTCTCTCCCCATCCCCTCTCCCCATCCCTTCTCCCCATCCCCTCATCCCCTCTCCCCATCCCCTCATCTCCTCTCCCCATCCCCTCTCCCCATCCCCTCATCCCCTCTCCTCATCCCCTCTTCCCATCCCCTCTTCCCATCCCCCATCCCCTCTCCCCATCCCCTCATCCCCTCATCCCCTCTCCTCATCCCCTCTCACCATCCCCCTCATCCCCTCTCCCCATCCCCCTCATCCCCATCCCCTCATCCTCTCATCCCCTCTCCCCATCCCCTCTCCCCATCCCCTCATCCGCCCCTTTCCATCCTCCCATCTCCCACTCCATTGGCTCTGTCTTCCCTTCTCATTCATTCCTTTGGTTCACCACTGCCCTCTTTCCTGGCCTCTCACTTCTGATCCCCATCACTCCATCCCCTTCCTCATTACTTCAGCTCTTCCCTCTTTCCTGCCACCCATTTCTCCTTCATTGTATCCTCTCACTCTTTCCCTGGTCTTGTCCCAATCCCTCCCATCACTCCACTACGTCATTCTTTCTCCTTCCTCCTCCCCTGTCCTTTCATTCCCCTCCCCGTGCTCCCTCCTCTTCACACATCATCTTTTGTTACCCATCGATTCTCTCATCCTCCCTGCCTGTGGCCTCGCACCCTTTCCCCGTCCCCTCACCTCTTTCCTCACTTCTCTTGTCACCCAGCCCATCTCAGAGACCTAGCCCTGTGCTTCTATCCTAGGCCTTAGTTTTGTCTGTAGAATGCCATTATCATATTCCGCCCCACCTTAGTTCCCCGGATGGCCAATGCATCCCAGGGTCTCGTGTAAGAGATCGTCCTATTATGCTCCCTTGGGGCTCAGTGTCCTGCCTCAGCATTGCCTCCATTCTAGCGTAGTGCTGAATGAGCACTCCTTGAATAAAGCAAACCCTAGAAGCACTGGTAAATTTGAATGACCTTTTTTTGCCCACACTTGTGCCTGAGTGTCCCTCAGGCCCTGCGTGATTGCTTGCAGCAAGATGGCTTCTCCTATGCTCTGGGCCTTTTCTACTTTTTGTTCCATGGTTAGGACAATGAAGAGGCTTCACTCTAGCAATTCTGGTCAGATAACTTGGGAAGAAAGAGGTCTTGCTCAGGGCTTCAGTGTGAATGGGGATTGACCCATTTCAGGGGTGCATGCCGCCTCCTGCCGCATTGAGTTGCATGTTCTCATCTGTAGCCAACACTGTGCTCCAGTGCCTTGATGGATGCAGACTCCCCGAGAGCAACCATACCTTGCTGCGGAAGCTTGGCGTGAAGCTCGTCCAGAGGCTGGGGCTGACTTTCCTGAAGCCCAGGGTGGCCACATGGAGGTAAGTTAGGCCTGTGACCTTGTTTTTATCTCAAGAGGAGAGGGCTGTGTGGGCTGAACAGCAAACGTCTTCTGCTTTGGTTTCCCCTTTGGTGTCTGAGTGTTTCTGGTTTTGAAGGAATAGTTTGTCTTTTGGCTATTTTCTGACTCAGTATCTTCAGCAGAATAGCTGAAGCTAGAATGGTAATGGGAGAAGCTTGCTCAGCCTTTCCCTAAGGTACTGCTCAGGTGTACCTCCAAGGTGTTGGTTTGGGCTCTTGGGATCTTGGGGGAAAGCTTTCTGGTCAGTCACCTCTCAGAGAAAACTTGGCTCACTTTGGAAGGTTTGTTCAGAAATCAAAGTGTCTTTTCTTGCTGGTAGATGTAACGTCTTCTAATGTCTCACAGCATTTTGGTGTTTTTTTTTTTTTTTTGTGTGTGTGTGTGTGTGTGTGGTGTTTATTTTGGAGACAGACTTATTCTGTAGCCCAGGCTAGCCTTGAGTCACACTCCTCTTTAATCTTCTAAGTACTGGGATCCTAGGCATGTGCCATCCTGTCTAGAAGGTGCTGGCGTTGTTGCTATTAACATTATTGAATGCGAGCATTCTACCACCGAGCTGCACACAGTTACCAATGTGTGTGATTTGAGAAAAGTTATATAAGTTTCGTTAAAACTTCTTCTAAAAGTGTAGTGAATTTCAGAGAATATGTTAGGCTTTAGAGATGTCTAACTGAAGTACCCTCACGTGTTAGTGTGCACTTCACTCTCAGGCTGTTAGTAGGCCACATTCTAGTGATCTGTTCTCAAACCCCATGGAAAATCTCCAAAGAAACAAAACCAGTAGGATTTGAGCACAGTATGGAAGCTGGTGAAACCTAAGGTCTGAGCCTGAAGACTCAGGAGGAGCCTGTGACCTAGTCAGAGGCTGGCAGGTGGGCGAGGCAGCCTTCTGTTTTGCCCAGGCTGTCAGCTGATTGGACAAGACTCACCTGTGCTAGAGCTGGTCCGTGTGTCCAGAAGTGTCCTCAGAGACATACCAGATGTGTTCAGTTAATGCTCACAGCTACTAAGAAGCTTAATTTAAGAAAATAATTCAATATTACCATTATTTGTCTCTATTTTTGCACACCTAATAATGTAGTTATTAATAGAATTAGGTTTTGATGGGCTGGGTGGCACACTCATAATCCTAGCACTCTGTGAGGTAGGAGGAAAGCTTACGGCTGGCCTGTTGTACATGCTGAATTCCAGGCCTGCCAGAGCTACGTAGTAAGACTCTGTCGCTTAAAAAAAAACCAAACCAGACCAAAATATGACCTGGTGTTTGTTTTGTTTAGTTTGAGATGGAGCCTGTATATGTAGCCCCAACCCTGTCTGTCCTGGAACTTGCTTTGTAGACCGGTCTGTCCTCAAACTCACAGAAATCCTTCTGTCTCTTCCTTCCGAGTGCTGGGATCAAAGGAGTGAGCCACCATGCCTGACTAATGATTGGATTTTAAGGTCACCCTCTTGCTATTTGTTTTCTCTGCACAAGTGGGGAGGGAGAAATAAAAGAGAAATCCAATCATTAGTCAGACTGACTGACCTTGAATTTGCTATTTTGATGACCTTGATTTCCTGGTTTTTTTCTGTCTCTGTGTGTCAAGGGCTGGGATTGCAGGCATGAACTACTGTGACCAGTTCCTCGTTCTATCTCTCTCTCTTTTGAGGTTCTTGTTAGATCTCCTAGCACTACTCTCTTAAAGGCTTTTTTCTTTCCCAGTGCAGGTGGTGAAGTTTGGTCTTCAGAGGCTGTGGTGTGCTGGGTGGATCCACTTCCTGTCTTGTGTTGGCTTTAGTTTTGTTAGTTTATTTCAGTTCTTCTCTTCTGTACACAGGTTTTCCTTAAGTGAGAGCTGGAACTTCTGGTCTTCTCTGGACCCGATAGCCAGTGTCCTTAAGATCCCCTGAGTGCTGAGAACTCTGTGCAGCTTTCCCCTGATCTTCTCTCTGGGTCCTGTCCTGTCCTTGCTCTCTATGGGAGACCGAGGACCTGAGGGAGATTGGGTGTGAGTTTTGTGTTCATTCTCGCAGCTCGTGCCTGTCGTGTGTTGGCTGCAGTCTTGGCAGTGCCTGTGAGGCGGAGGTAAAGGTGGATGCACAGCTGGGATTCTGTGTTGGGGAGGAGAGCACCCTGTCTCTGCCCAAGTGGGTCTCAGAGACTCAGACAACTCTCTTTGGAGGTGGGCTTTGATTACTCTGGCATGCCGACTCTTAGCAGGGAGTTGCTTGGTCAGGGCCAGACAGATGATGGTTGAGTGGTGTCCATGAACCACATTATTGTTGGTTCCCTTTTGCTTGTTCCCCAGGCAACTGGGAGATCTGTTCCGAGCTGCACTTGGCGCATAGGTAAGGAGTGGGCCCTGTGGCCTGGGCTGAGGGCTGAGGCCAGAATGCCAAGCAGCTGGAGAAGGCAGCCATTTGCTTGTGAGCAAGGGTGAGGCCCTGATGTCTTTCATGTGTAGCCTGTGGCGAGGCCTTGCCATTGCCTTCTGCCTTCAGACTTTGTTGTGGATGGCTCTTGAGAATTAGGGCATGCGTCTGCTCTAGGTTGACTTTCTTTGATATTACTACATCAGTAGTCTTCTTTTTCCCCAGTTTGTATGGTGTGTGAGAGTTTCTCAGGCCTCATGTATGGTTTTGAGGGATGCTAAGTTGATGACTTCACTTACCAGACAACTTGCTTTTAAGGTCAGGCTGTGCCTACCAGCCTGAGACGATTTTGTTCTCACAGGTATCAGCGTGGCTCTCGGTCTTTGGCTGCCAACCTGCAGCTCAGTGTCCCGGGTAAAAGTGAGCAGAAGCCACTGTCCGATAGCTTAACTTCTGATGGCGATGAAGACTATGATGTCCCAGAGGGGGTGGAGAGCGTGATAGGTAAGTGGAGCCACAGCGTGTGTCACGCACGCCTCATCTACAGCATGTCTGTGCTTTTCTTCTCACCTAGCATATGACCCCTGACTGACCTCCCCATGGACACTCGCTCTTGCAGCGCTAGCTTCCCGCTGTCCCTTCACCCCTCCACACTGCCTTCGTACACCCTGACCCCTAAGTTGCTCTCCCTGGTTGTCTTCAGGGAATCAGGGTTCCCAGGATAACAGACTTGGAACGTAGAACTCATGTCTCCAACCTTTATTCTCTTGTCTTGTTCCAGCATGGGACTCATGTCTCCAACCTTTATTCTCTTGTCTTGTTCCAGCATGGGACTCATGTCTCCAACCTTTATTCTCTTGTCTTGTTCCAGCATGGGACTCATGTCTCCAACCTTTATTCTCTTGTCTTGTTCCAGCATGGGACTCATGTCTCCAACCTTTATTCTCTTGTCTTGCTCCAGCATGGGACTCATGTCTCCAACCTTTATTCTCTTGTCTTGTTCCAGCATGGGACTCATGTCTCCAACCTTTATCCTCTTGTCTTGTCCGAGCACGCTTTTCATCATCTCAGACTATTGTAGGCCTCCACACTTATCAGGAATCTTGACCCAGGGTTCCCAGTCCCCCCTTTACTCTGCCCAGCCTCAGGTTTACCGCTATCTCCTCACTCCCTTCCTTACTACGGATGCTGGATGGAGTGGATCCTCAGCCTCCACTTCCTGGGGGATCCTGGCAGGAGGTTCAGAACCACTTGATCACCTCCCTTGCTGTGTTCTGTCCATTCATTCTTCAGGACAGTTTTCCCCAGACTTGTCTATCCCTGCTGTCTGTATCGTCTCCTTGACCTCTGTAGTGGTGTTTCAGTGGCCAGCACTCACATGTATTTGGTCTTTTCTTGGACGACCCTTCCCTCCTTAGGATTCTCTTCCCTGCTTGCTGTGGCACAACACCTGTCTTGAGTCCCTCTAAACCACCTTGAACTCCGTAGACACAGATGAATTCTCTTGCTCCTTCTCTGTTATTGCCTGCTTATCTGCCTTAGGCATGTTACTTCACGCTCTGCTCCCCCAAAGACCACCCAGCCTGCTGATTTGTTTCTTCCCACCCCCGACTGTTAGCTATCTTCTGGGGTTTGCCCTCTGACCAGTGTTTGGACCATACTGGGCTTGTAGGGCTGTGTGACCTGGGATAGCCTTCTGACTGCCTCTGGGCTAGTCCCCAAAGACCTCATCCTCCCTTGTGGGAGCCTTCCCAGATGTCTCGGGTTTCTTTTGACCTCTCTGGCTCACTGAGGCCTTTACCTGAGGAGGCAGCTTGCTCCCTGCTGATTGTTGTTAGGAAGTGACAGAAATGCTCTCTTCTGTGGTTGTTTAAAAGCAGGGAAGAAGTGTTTTCATTGTAACTAAAATGAAGGCTCAGGATTGGAGATAGTGCAGCTCTCAGAACATTGTAATGAAAATGAAGGCTCAGGATTGGAGAGAGAGTTCAGCTCTCAGAACACTTGCTGGTTTGGTTCCTAGTGCCTACAAGATGGCTCACAATCATCTGTTACTTTAGCTCCAGGGGATCTGACCCTCTCTTGACTTCTGTAGGTACCAGGCATGAACATTGTGCATATACATACATACAGACAATACGCTCATGTTTTTTAATGGGCGTGCAAGCTGGCTCAGTGGGTAAAGGGAAAATCAGGTTTGATTCCTGGAACTTGAGTGGTGGAGGGGAGAACCAGCTCCTAGAAGTTCTCTGGTCTCTCCATTCAGGCAGTAGCATGCCCACGTCAGGCCCATCCCTCATCTAATGTGAAAAACAAACAGAAAACAATTCAGACTCTTACTTTTTAGAGAAATGGTCTCACGGTGTAGCCCTAACTGGCCTGGAACTCTGTATAGACCAGGCTGGCTTTGAAGTCAAGAGATCTGCCTGCCTTGGCCTCCTGAGTGCTAGGCTTTCCAAACTGATTTCCTCCTTCCTCAGCTTGCCGAGTGCTGAGATTACAGGCATGTGTAACCCACGGCTGGCTAACGTTAAGATTCTCGGCACAATTCGCACAGTGTATGCTTTGGAGTGCAGGATTGGTGGAGTAGTTTGCATACAAGAAGAGGACTAAGGTTTTGTGTGGGCTGATGGTGTGTGTCCTGCTTCTTGCAGAGCAGCTGCTCACTGGGCTGAAGGACGAGGACACTGTGGTGCGGTGGTCTGCAGCCAAAGGGTACGTATAGAAGCCGGGATGAGGGCCAGCGCTGAGTGCTGGGTGAGGGGCTGGTGTGTCCAAGCCGGTGTTCCTTAAAACCTTGCATGGGCTTTGAGAGTTGTAAATAGTTTGTAGGTTTTCAAATGGTAGAACTATTGTTTTATATGCTGTACATTGAAAGGTAATTACTGGCTGGGAATGGTAATTCCAGCATTTGGGAGGCAGAGGCAGGCAGATTGCTGTGAGTTCAAAGCCAGCCAGATCTATGTAGGAAGTTCCAGGGCTGCCAGAGCTACATCGTGAGACCCTGTCTCAAAAACCCAAACATCTAAAGAAAAATTCTGAGGTTAAATTTAAGCTCCCTGAAGTGGTGTGAGGCCAATATTAGTAATAGTTGGTTCCTATAAGTTACATGTTAGGGTGTTGAAGAGATTCTGTGTGGTAAAAATAGAGTGAGGCGGGCTGTGTCCCGCTCACAGGTTCCCGTGACATCACAGATAGGAAGCTCTCCCCGAAGGGGGCTGCCCTGGGAATCTGTCCATAGCAGATGTTCTTGGCCTGAAGTCTGTCCGGCTGGGAGGGATAGACAAACAAACGCACAGTGAGCACGCTAGGAGGAGCCTTCCCCTGGGCCTGACTTCAGCTCTCTGCTTTCCTCTGTGCAGGGCCTGGACTAGCCTTTGGTGGAAATGGGACAGTGTGTAGGGGAGAGGGCCTAGGTTGGCTTTTGCAGCCTTCTAGTGTCTGGGGCTGTTATCAGTGATGAGTTCAGTGTCTGTATTACTCTGGGGAGAGGTGACCACACTCCCTGTTCACATGCCCAAGAGTCACCTGCCCTGTCCTTGGCATTGTTGCTGAGCAGTATTTGAGGCTTGCCGTCCTCTGGAGAATGGGAGACTTATTCAAGATGGTCGTGTATATAGCAGATAAACTCTTGCCTTTCTTTTCAGGATTGGTAGAATGGCTGGAAGGCTTCCCAGAGAGCTGGCAGACGATGTGGTGGGGTCTGTGTTGGACTGCTTCAGGTAGGTCATTCCTTGTGGCTGTCTGCTCTTGTGGACTAGAGTATTTTCTTTCAATTGAGCTGTTTGTTAGAACCCCAAAGCCTATTTTTTCCCTCTTCAAGTTAAACTTGAAAACTTAAGTTATCCGATACGTTGTTCTTTTCAGCACCATTATGTATCTAAAACCTTTAGAAAGAAATGACGCTAGTGTTGAACCCATGGGAATGTAGGTCTTCACCTTCAAGTGTGGGTTTTGCATTTGTACTGCGGATGGGCAGAGCTTCATAGAATGAGGGAACGTTCTGAATCTATAGGCCTCATGTCGCTACTAGCCAGAGTGGACACTAAGACCCTTAAGTGTCTGAGGCCTGGAGTTGCATTGTAATGGATTGGCCTCTCAGGACATTCCGGGTGTGTGGGCGCATGGCCCGTGTGTAATGTGGCTTATTAGGTGGGTGTGATCCTTGGGTCACAGACTGGCACTGTGTACTCATAGACAGAGGCATCGGTTTTGCTTCCTTCCTAATGATTATTATTCCTGGTGTGATGGTTTCTTCCTGGGCTTTGGAAGTAGAGAGTTGAGCAGGGGCATACGCCTGTCCAGACATTCCTTTTTCACGGCCCCTTGTTGGCAGCACTGTTCTGGGCCTGCTCTTCTGGCAGGAAGTATGTTATCAGTACTTTGGGTGCTCCAGTCCTTTTTCCTTGTGTCTTTAGAGATGACCCACCAACAGCCCAAATCGGCTTCCTTCTGGAGTAGGCCCTTCATTTTGCCTGAGGCTGCTTAGAGGCAGTTTACTAGAGATTGCGTGTCAGTGACGGTTTTAGACTGACGGTATATGTAGTGGAAGCTGCAGGAGGTCGCGTGTCAGAGACAGTTTTAGACTGACGGTATATGTAGTGGAAGCTGCAGGAGGTTGTGTGTCAGAGACGGTTTTAGACTGACGGTATATGTAATGGAATCCTAGCAGAAAACATTCTTACTGGGACGGCTGTGTGGAGTGTGGAGAGAAGAGAGACTGTGTAGCTTCTTTTCTCACGATTCTCCAGATTTGTTTTAGACCTTGTCCCTGGAGCTCCTTCTGGAGGTCACGAGGTGGCGTGCTGGAGATACCATGAACTTATTACCAGTATGTACTGGCTTCTGAGGACAGCTAAGGCCTTTTTTGCAGGTTTAGGAAGGGTTGGATTCCATCATTTCCCAGCTTTTGCAGAGTTCTAAGCACTGTTTTTGCCCATCCCTCTTAGGGTGTTTCTGCACATTCCCTCCGGTCACCTAGAACTTTTTATGCAGGTGCACCTCTCCGCACCCTCCCGGAACTTCTTCTACACTCTCTTGCCTCCAGTCTCTCTGACATTCTTAGCCCATTCTCTTTGAGTTCTGCAGGGTTCTGGTGTGTAAAGCTTCTGCAGACTGTGTTCCTTCCTCCTGGCTTACAGTCTTGTCTAATGTTGGAGCCTAGTTCATTTAACCTTCTCGTAGGGTCCATTTTTCTTTTTTTTTAATAGATGGCAGATACAAAAGTATATCCTGTTTCCATGTCTCTGTTCTGGAGACAGAAAGGGTGTTACTGCTCTTGAATTCTCAGCCCACATTGCATGCTGATGGAAGGGTCAAGATGTTGGGTCTGTACAGAGGTCTGGGTCTCCCAGTGTCTTCCTCTAACCCACTTACGGCATCCCAACCTTTTGTGCTTTCTCTGTCTGGATCCCTAGGTGTGGGAGTTTAGGCTCGGATTTGGGATAATAGCATGCCCTTGGCCAAAGTCAGGCTGGATTTTCTCAGACACGGGGATGTGGTGGTGATAGCAGCATCTCAGGCCTGCCTGCCTGCCTTGTAGTTTAGAAATGAAGTTAGTTTACTGTATTTGAGTCATTATTGCATTATACTGTGTTAAGTTCACTCTGATGGTAATCCTCATAAAAGCACAAGGAAGTGTCTCTCTCCGTTTGAAATCCCGAGGAACATAAAGATTTGGAAATGGAACCAGGTGTGGTGGCATACTCTTATAATCCCAGCACTTACAAGGTAGAGGTAGGAGGGTCAAGAATTCAAGGCCAACTTCAGCTATATAGCGAGTTTGAGGCCAGAGTGGGTCCATGAGACCCTGTCTAAACAAATAAAAAACCCAAGATTTGCAATGATGGCATAGCCGCTGAGCAGCACCTGCTAAGACACCTGGCACATTAGGAAATGGTAATTGTGGGTGAGTCATTGGTGGTGGTGGTGAGTAGGAGGACAGCTGTGTCTGACAGCTCACGAAGGCCCATGCTGTGTCCATCTTGTAGACATCCGTCTTTTCGTCTCCTCGTAGTTCATGTACAAAGCAGCTGGTGTACAGTTTAGTGATGATTTTCCTATACATTTTTTTGCTGTCAAATGAATTCAGCCAGAATAGGTAAAATCCTGTCATTTGTTTTGCTTTTTTTGTGATGTGCATTTTCATGTTTATGTTGGCAACAAAATACAGAAACTTCAGAGCGGCCCTGACCAGTCTGAGACAGTCACTCACGTTGTAGTTACGACGGGCCACACCCTGAAGAGACCTTTTGAATACCCAGACACATTGATTTTAAATATAAAATGTCGCTTGTGAGTCCCTATTTCATTTGGGTGCAAAATTGGGTTCTCGTATGCCCAGCTACTTGGAATGCTGAGGCAGAAGGATTGCTTGAGCCTACAAGTTCACCATTAGTCTGGGAACATAGCCAGACTTGATACCTCCGTGCCTTTGAAAAAGTCTTAAATGCTCTTTCTTTTCTTTGTTTTGAGATGGGCCTTGAACTTGTGTAGTTGAGATGGCCTTACACTTCTGACCTTCCTGCCTCCACTTCCCAGGTACTGGGATTAGAGCATATGACACGGTGCCCATCTCATTTAATCTCTTTTTAAATCTTGAATGTGATCACTGAGGTAACAGTGGGTGCCATGTAAAGGCTTCCTCCTGTTCCTTTTCTACTGATGTCCTCTAAATTGGGTAGAATCTCTGTTGACTCTCTACTGTCTGATTAGGGTGGGCTGAGGTCAGAGCATTGTGGCCATGGTGGCAGGACGTCATGTAGGGCAGATGGCCTGGTTTGACGCTGAAGGTGGTGGAATGTCTCTAGATTGGTCTTGAGCTGACCCAAGACCTTTCATTTTCATTGGTTGATGTGAAGGGTAGTGTTGATGTGGCGGTTGTCTTCATATTAGGTTTGATGCCTTATTTGTTTAACCAAGAAGTCATGGTTTTAATAAGGCTCATGGGCCCAGAATATGGATTAACTTGTGTTTCTTGCAAAAGTGTGGGCTTTCAATATGGAGTTGACTGTTGAACTGTGGTCTTAGTTTTCAGGAGACCGATAAGGCATGGCATGGTGGATGTCTGGCATTGGCGGAACTGGGGAGACGAGGCCTGTTGCTGCCATCGAGACTCTCAGAGGGTAAGTAACTGAAGTGCATGGATCTGCATCCTTAGGGCTGCTGAATCTTGGGGGGGGGGGGTTCCTCAGTGTGGTTGTCCGTGGACACCAGTGCTTCTGGAGAGGGCATGCATGGTATATGCGTGGTATATGCATGTTCCTCAAGCTTCTTTCTCACGCCAGCCTTTATAATTTACTAATTACCTCGTTAGCCTGTTGTAGCTTCATGCTGCATATGCTCTGTTGTGCCAGATTTAGAGGGTCATGGACCCTGGTCATATTTGGTTTTCTTGTCTCTAGAACTGCTTTTCTCTCTCGGGGTCTGTCACCCATTGAGAGCACCTGAAGACGTAGCTCTTGGTGCCCCCGCAGTGTATTGTGTGACCTGCAGTGACAGTGTCCTGATCGATGACACAGCTTGTGGCAGCAGTGGAACTAACCTCAGGACGGGGCACAGTGCCGTGCCAAGGCTGTTTGTTGGGTCCTGGTGAGGTGGAGTCAGAATAAGGCCATGCACCACTGTCTGGAAGTAGCTTGTGGGTTGAAGAGAAAGGAGCACAAAAGATGGAGAAGGTCCTTTCTGAAAGTGTGCACCAGAGATTGTGAGGGTGTGGCTTTCATGTAGAGCAGTGGTTCTTAACCTTCTTAAAATGCTGTAGCCCTTTATACAGTTCTTCACGTTGTGGCGATCCCCAACCGTAAAATTATTTCATTACTTCTTTGTAGCTGTAATCTTGTTACTGTTATGAGTTGTAATGTAAGTACCTGATATGCAGAATATCTGATATGCCATCCTTAAAAAGGGTCATTTGACACCCAAAGGGGTTATAACCCACAGGTTGAGAATGGGTGGTCTAGAGTAAGACCCAGGAATCGTGTGGGTTGCATGTCACTGCTGCCAAGCTGCAGTATCAGCACTGGAACACAAGGGAGGCGCTCTGGAGCTGTGTTCTGTTTACCCCTTCTGCTTTTAAAAACGCAATATGTTGCATCCTGCACCGTTTACCTGTGTACACTTGATGGTGGTCTCTGACATCATGTAATTTAACCTCAGAACATTCTCTTTGCCTTAGGCTGGAATCCTGCACCGCAGAGCAGCCGCTTCCACCGTACTACCCAGCCCTAGGCAAGCTCTGGTCCCCTCTTCGCTGTTCTGTTCTGCCCTTCTCAGGCATTTCATGTCAACAGACCTCGATGTTTGTTCTTTTGTGTCTGGACGGCACGTGATTTTCTGATGGTCACTGTGTGGTGGTGCTTCGTCCTGCTGACGGGGATCCTCATGAAGGACTGCTTTTTGCTTAGTCTTAGCAGTTTAAGTAACCATTTAGGTGACTTTTTGAGTAATGCCGCAGTGAGCGTTTGTTTGAGTGTTTGTGCAGACATGTGTTATTATTTGTCTTGGATGTGGACCTGGGAGTGGAAATGCTGGTTCATCTGAGAAACAAATCAGACTCTTGACTGTAGTGTGCATTGCTCTACACTCCCACCAGCTCCACTTTCTTCATATACCCATTTTTGTTTTTGTCTTCTCTTTTTAAGACATAATTACTATTGTAGTTGTTGTAGGATGTCAGTCATCTCATCATGGCTTGGTTGTTCATCCCTGGTGGCCAAGGAAGAAGTCTGAACCAGCTCCAAGGTGTTGCTAGATGTTTGCCTAGCTAGGATTGCCTCTTTGCCAGGAGTTGTGGTGTGGCAGAGTCACACTGTTCTGTCAGAAAGGACCGACACAGACTTGGGGAGGTAGGGGGCAGTTTCCTTACCCCATGTGGAGATCAGCAGGTCTGTGCAGATGGATCATTGTGGAAACCTGTTGCGTGAAGTCCTACAACTTGCTGTGCCGTGGAACCTGAACAGTGCTGTTTCTCTTCGGGTTTCTTCAGTGGGCCCAGCTTGTATGTGCTGTGCCATATTTCAGCACGTTAGACTGCATCGATTCCACCACCTGGAGTAAGGATAACAGTATTACTGGTGTCACAGTGTCAAGCTGTTATTTACAACATGATGTGGAATAAATTAGCCCATTATCTCTCTGTGGGGCGCTGTCTTCCTGCCCTGCAGTACCTCCATGGGAACTGAACCTCCCTGAAGCTTCTTCTTGTGCCAGGGGCACCCCGTACTGTCTCCTGATGGGGGAAGTGTCATGTCAGATAGGGGGACAGGGGCTCTGGAACCTGTGTGAAGATGGTTACCCTAACATGGAACGTCTGAAGGATTTTTTTTTGAACTTTCGAGACAGGGTTTCTCCTTAGTGAAGGATGTTTTTTATGTTCTTATTTTAGATCTCACACCATTCCTCTGCGAGTGGTCTTGTTTGTTTAAAGTCACGGCTGAATACTTGCTTCTCATAGCCATTGTGTAGTATGTAACCTTCTTAGCTGACAGAAGCAAAAGCAGCACAGTCCCCACATTTGGATCAGGAATTCATGTTCTCGGTACAGTGAGTTTGAGGTTAGCTGGCCTAATATGAGAGCCCCTGTCTCTTAGGAAAGGAAAAGGATAAACACGGTCTGGAAAGACAAAGGTGTCCATGAACATGCTGGTAAACAAAACTTCTGTTTTTGTCTCAGAAGACATGGGAAGCTTTCTGGGTACACGCTGAAGTCAGGGAGGAAGTGACTTTGTGGAGGTCAGATTGATTTTACCACCGCCTCAGAGAGCAGACCTGGGCAGTCTCAGGAAGGAGCAGCTTGGTGGTCTCTTTAAAGAGTTCTGCCAAGTTACCTTCATGCACACACACGTGAGCTCTTACACACATGTATTCCCCCACACTTGAGCCCAAGTTTGTTTGTTTGATTTTTGCTGTGGTGGATAAGGACCTCGGCCATTATCAGAGGACTGCTTAGCCTTTATTCCAGGTGGCCCAGATGCTTGGTTGGTCCTGGTTTTGATCCTCTTGGTTTTGGGGGGAGTCGCTCCTTGAACCATGGGGCATCATCATTAGCCTGACTAGCCTTGTTTACGGTTTTGGCTGGATTTTCTCTGTGGCTGTATTTGATTAGTGTTAGTATTCTAATAGAGTGTATACCCGTGTTCCTCATTTTGTGGTTGATTCACGCCCACCCCCAGTTTTAGGTTTTGAAATTAAACATCCTTATCTCTTTGGTTACTTGGGTTCAAACCTTCTGTTTCTTTGCTGTTTTTATTCCGTGGAGAATTTTGTGCCGATAAGTCATGTGTTATGAGTGTCTTGGGCGTGTCCAGCCTTGGCTCCCTTAGATAGTTCACTGCCTCTTTCTCCCTTTTCAGCCTGGGACTGGAATTTTGGAAATGTAAAGTTGTACTCTGCTTGACCCCTCAGGTCTCTTAGGTTTTTGTTCTTTTTCCTTTATTATTATTATTATCATTCCTCATACTGGGTGATTTCAGTTTCTTTATGTTCACTGATTCTGCCTTTTACCTGTCGCAGATCTGACTGTAAGCCCCATGTTAGTTTCTGTCCTCATCACTGGGACCAGATTCTACCTGACGAAAGTGGTTAAAAGAAGGAAGGGTTTGTTTTGGCTGATGCATTTTAAGAGTCCAGTCCGTCTTGACTGGGAAGGCATGCCGGCAGGAGTGTGAGGCCGCTGGTTACGTTGCATTCTCAGTCAGGGAGCAGAGAGAGATGAAAGATGCTTACTTAGCTCACTTTTTCCCTCTTATGTAGTCTGGGACCCCTGCTCATGGAATGGTGTGTCCCACACTTAAAATAGGTTCCTATCTTAGTTAACTCAATCTAGAAACTCCCTCATGACACACCCAGAGTCTTGTCTTCTAAATAATTATAGATCCTGTCAAGTTGGCAATCAGTGTCAATCATCACATCCCTCTAGAGAACCTTCATTTCAATTGTTGACTTTTCAATTTCAGAACCTCTGTCAAGTTGCTATAATTTGTCTCTTTGTTGACATTTTGAGCTGATTCAGATATGGTCTGTGGTTCCCTTTGAGCATTTTAAAGTCTGTGTTTGGTAAACTCAATGCCTGGGCTGCTTTCCTGTTCCCTTTGTCTGCCTTGCAATTTTTTGTTTTTGTTGAAAATAAAATATTTTGAATATTCTAATAGGCACCTGCACTTAAAAAGCCTCCTCCCCACAGGCACTTGCTCTCCGGACGCATTGAGGCCTGTGGTGTCCACTGACCCGGTGACTGTCTTGTGTTTGTTTACTGTGGTTTGTTCCGTGTCTCATCATTAGGTGAGGTGTGAGGGGATCTGTGGTGCTGAAATAGTAGTTTTCTTCTGTAAGCCTCCCTCTGGTCTTCATAAATGCTTGATTAGTATCCAGACTTCTGCAAAAGTTGATCCTATCAGTTTTGTTCAGTTTAACACTTTAGCACGTTGTAACGCAATCTCGCTGGGGGCCTCCACTTGTACCTCGCACGCCTCTAGTGTACCACCTGCACCACGGGACCGTTTGTGAGCTGGGAAAGGGGCTGGAGATGGACACACACACAGAGACAGAGAGGCAGAGACACAGGTCATCCTTGAATTCCCCAAGAATGCCCTCTTTATTGAGTTTGGGGACAGCTTATATAGGGCTCTCAGGAAGGATCTTTCAGCTACAGACTCACCAGAAAGCACTCCCCTGCCATCAGGGTCTCACACTTAGAGCAGGTGCTCAGAGCAGAGGAAAACAAGGAAATTCAGGGTCTGGTGGTCTGCAGTCCCCAACAGCGTATAATTCCTGTTCTGCTGTGTTGTATGACATCATCCAAAAAGGAACATTTGGGTAGTGTTGTGGCATCTGTCTGGATCTTCTTAAGTAGCAAATGCCATATAGGATTAAATATACAAGAGTTTGTTAGGGAAATGCTTGTGTGTGAGAGAGACAAGAGGGGGGAGTTAGACAGGAAGACTGGACATCTTCATTGGCCCTGATAATACATATGTAAGATACCTGGTGTTGTAGGTCCCAGGCAAACAGGTCCCTGGTCAGGGACAGGTTGACCAGGTCCCAGAGTTGCACTGTTATTTAGTTTTTAGCGTTTATGCCATTTTGAGCTGCCAGACACCCACCTTTGTAAGAAAGTGACTACAATGTGGCATCTATGACTTTTCTGCTTGGCAGATTGTCCTCCCGTGCTTTCTTTTCGTATCTGTTTTTTCCTGCCCTGTCGAAGGTGTTGTGGGAAGAGGACAAATCACAGTGGACTGTTGTCAGGATTGTTGAGAAAGGATTTTGTTTTTTTGTTTTGAAATATAAATTGAGATACAGTTTACTCATTTAAAATGTAATTAAATTGATTTTGCTGTATTTCATTTCTTTTAAACATATAGTTAAAAAAAAAATATATATATATATATATATATATATATATAAAACAAAAATTATTGTAGCCATTTCCCAGCATTCTGCTCAGTGACATTAATTATGTTCTTGCTGTTGGGCAACTATTTCATACATCTGGTCCTACAACATCTGTTATTCTGAGTAGATAACCTGTCTCCCATCCCACATAACTCCAGTCGACCTCCTATTCCTATGGTTTTGCCCATTCTTGGGTCTTCATGGAAGTACGAAGTGTGTAGAATATTTTGTATTTGTGGCTGGACCATCTCATAGAGTATAATGATCCCAAGATGGGGTGGAGGTCCTTCTGTCTGTGCATTGCTTTTATTGGTTAATTAGTAAAGAAATTGGCTTGACCTATAGCAAGGTAGAGCTAGGTGGGGGTGGGGTGGGGATGGGGGGCGCACAACTAAACTGATTGCTGGGAGAAGGAAGGCAGAGTCAGGGAGAAGCCATGCAGCCCCTGTTGGAGACAGACGCCAGATGGAACTTTACCCGGTAAACCACAACCATGTGGCAATTCACAGATTAATGGAAATGGGTTAAATTAAGATATGAGTTAGCCAGAAATATGCTTAAATACGCTTAATCTTAAGCCAATCATTTGTGAGTGTAGAGAGGTACTAATCTGGAAACAAGATCCTAGTATTTTGTTATATGAATGCAGGGATTCCTTTTGTTTTATAGGCAGATGGAATATCTACTCTAGTTGCCATGGGTATACTGTTGAAGGTGACCTTTGGAGCAACTGTCCCTGGAGGGTGGTGTTTCTCCATGGGGGGCCTCTCAGCTGAGGCAGTGGTACCTGTGCAGACCCAACTTTCCGAAGGCTTAGTACCTCCTGTTTGGTAGAGTGATTTCTCACACTTCACCCAGGCATGGGAGGCAGCTGGCTGGGTTCTTCTTGTTTGCCATTTAAGGTGGTATAGACAGTGGGTGAGCTATCTGTGGTACTACCTCAGAGTTCTGGGCCTGAATGGAGGGCTCATGAGCACGGAGCAGACAGTGCTTGGTGGGTCATTCCTCTTTCCCGCAGGCCTTTACTTGATGGGGAGCAGGAGGGATCATATTTTTGTTCTTTGTCAAACAAACAAACAAACAAACAAAAACAGAGCCAGGCTGGAAAATATAAGATTGTATTTGTTGGTTTTATATCCTAAGAGAGCACATTTCGGTTAATGGTGTGTGGTGGTTTGATGGACCCAAAGGCCTCATCTAGCTCCTTGAAAGGGAGGGGCTCCTCCGGCCTCACCAGGTGATAGCAGAAAGCTTTCCTGCTTCCATGAGTGGGAAACCTGTTGTACCTTTAGAGATGGCTTGCAGCACTGGCCTCCTGTATCTCATAACGGTTGTGAAAAACTGCATCCTGCTTATGCTGGTATTTGAAATTTTTTTAAAGATTTATTTTTTTTTATGTACATTGGCATTTTGCATGCATGAGTGTCTGTGTGAGGATGCCAGATCCACTGGAACTGGAGCTACAGGCAGCTGTGAGCTGCCCTGTGGGTGCTGGGAACTGAGCCCAGGTCTTAACCCCTGAGCCATCATTCCAGCCCCGGTATTTGAAATCTTATATGACATTAACCAGTTGCAAAGTGTTTCTCTATGCCTAACATCATCATACCTAACAGGTAGGGCACTGGCCAGCTTTCACCGGGCATCCTCTATGGGGACTGGCTAGGAGCTGGGAATTGATGCCAGAGGAAAAGGACTTTTCAACAAGAAACCATGAATTCTGCTCAGTGCCTATAGCTTGGTTCTTGCATGCAGGATAAAAGACCATCTCTGTCTAGACTAGAAGAGCTTTTGGGGACCGAGAAAGGTGGAACCCTTCCCACGTAGCACTTGGGGCCAGGGCTCCTGAGACTTACCTTCTTCGTACTCTGAGACTCAGGACTCCTGGATGGTCCTTGAAAAGCCCCAGGGGTGAAGATTTGTCCGTGCCTGGATTCTGGTGATTGATTCACCGACCCCAGAAGTACTTTCTTAGTTTTATTGTTGCCTCAGCTGTCAACTCTCTTGCTGAGTGCTGTAGTGGAACTCTAAAGAATACCACAGACCTGACGTTGGTCTTTGCTCTATGTGTCCTCAGAGTTCACACAAGAGTTTATTGGAAAATTAACATGTACATCATTTTAGGGAGTTGAACGCGAGTGAGAAAGTTTGCTGTGACATCATAAACAAGAATAAATTGATCCTACCTTAACCAGAAATGCGTTTCCCTGATGGAAATAAATTACTTGTAAAATCAACCTCTGGACGCTTGTGGTCAGTACAGTAAGTAACCACAACACTTTTTACAGGTAACACCTGATGCTCAAGCTGAAGCTGTTTCTGGCATCAAAACACATAACTATATTCAACAGGAAAACAGTAAAAGTTTACTAGTCCTGACAAACAGTACATATAAAACGTCGTTCCTCACACTGCTCTCGACTCAAACTGCTGAGCTGGATTTTAGTTCTATATAGTTCCTTGATGTGTCTCAAACAGGAAAGCCCAGTTTAATTTGTCTTGGAGAGCATAAGCCACTCAGATGTTTTTTTTTTTTTTTATCCAGAAGTAGAAACACCTTTTAATATTTATTCTTAATGCTTACAAAAACCTGAACAAGATTACAGCCATTTGTCTTTTTTTTTTTTTTTGAGAAGAAAAGAGAAACTGTTTATAAAAACTGACTGATAAAAAGTGAAGGTAAACTGGGAGTACACTGGGTGTCCCAGCACTTGGGCTGATGCCAGCTTGAACAACATGACAAGACTGTACCTCCTCCAAAAAGCAAAAAAGCGAAGATGCTGCTTAGAACATGTGTGAAAGGCATCTTGTTGGCCACAGCGCCGAGCACGTGAGGCCTCAGGACACCCGGGTTCTCTTGCGCAGCGTGAGCACTCTCGGTATGGTGTCGTTCAGCCTTGGCTTTTTAGTTCCTTGCTGGGATTTTCCTGCGTCCCTTTGACTCGTCCTCTTTTGTCCTTTGGGTCTGAGGTCACACTGAGCCCCCTGGTTCTCTGTAGAACCGAGAGTGGGCACATCTTGACCGGTGGATTCCTGGGCTGTGCCTTCCTCATCGCCCACGCGGACTTTCCCCGGGCTGTAGGCCGCCAGCTGACAGAGAGCGACAGCCGCGGTTTGCTTTTGCTCATCGCTACTGTCTACCGTGTGCACATCTGGGGCCGTCCTGCCGTGGGCCTTGTCTTCCTGTGTCTCCACGGGGCTTGTCCTATCTTCGGAACCTTTGGTCTCAGTCTTTAGAGCAGCAGCAGGTTCAGCACCTTGCGGTGGGCTGGGGAACACAGGCCTAGGAGCCCAGGCATTACAGGGATCCTTTACAGAGAGATTGAGTGGCAGGTCCTGCAGCCCCGAGAAGCCCAGGGCGTCTGCCTGAGCATTGTCTACGTACATGGGTCCATAAGTGGCTGCAGGGTTGGTCTCCAACTTCTTTGAGAGGTTGAGGGGGCTTATCCTGGAGTGGTCCTCTGGGCTGGAAGGTGGGGCCTCTGTGATGAGAGAGGTACTGGTCCCTGTCTGGGCTGGAGAGTCACTGTTCATGACCTGAAGGCTAGAAGAAATCAAGAGAAATTTTAGGAAGATCATCATGTAAAGCTTTTTTTTTTTTTTGAGACAGGGTTTCTCTATGGTTTTGGAGCCTGTCCTGGAACTAGCTCTTATAGACCAGGCTGGTCTCGAACTCACAGAGATCCGCCTGCCTCTGCCTCCCGAGTGCTGGGATTAAAGGGTGCCACTGCCCGGCTTGTAAAGCATTTTAATCAAGTGTGAACTTGGTGTTAAACAAAACTACATTGAAGCTTTTGAGAAAGAAATTTTCTTACCTTTTTGGAGACTCTGTTCTGCTTGTGGGAGGTTGAGACTGAGGACTTTCTGATCCCCTCTGGACAGGTTTGAAGGCAGTGGGGCTCTGTTCAGGCTGCTGGAGTCTCTCCGGGGCTCCCGAGGAGGCCTCTTTGTTTGAGAGATCACACAGGCCTTCGAATGTTTGGCTTGTTTGGGTGAAATTGGTGGGGCTTGGCCTCCCTGGGGAGCCCGTGGCAGCGCTCCCCGCTCGGGGACTCATTTTGGCCTCTTCTGCATCCCTTTGCCCATCTTTAGAAGGATCTTTTGCCTCAGGGAGAGGGCTTTCTTTCTCAAACTCTGTGTGTTTTTTGTGGGAGTTTGAAAGATTTAACTGGGAGGGACTTGAGGCTGGATAAGCCAGGGCTGCTTCTTCAAGCAGTCGAGAGCTCTGATCTCGCGTGATGCCAGGGACAGGTGGGAGCCGGAGACTGTAGGGGGGGAATGCCGACTCTGGTCTGTAAAATCCGTAAGGAATTGGCAGATTTGAGTGGTATTGCTGGAAAAATCTGTAGTGGTCGTATGTCGATGGAGTTGTGTTCAGATGCTTGGGGATCGGTCCAGGATGAGACAGGAAGTGTCTTTGGTCTTGGGACCCATAGACAGACAGCAGAGTGGCATCACATTCAGGCGTGTTCCCAGTCAGGAGGTAGGGGGAGTAGATGGCAGCCAGCCCATGCTCCGTATAGAAGGGATGGGGGTACTCGGGGATTGCAGGGTGCATATAGGGGGAGATAGCCCCAAACCCCTTCGTAGATGGGATTTTATGTGGAAAGTCAGGTGGCAGGAATGGGGAGCCAGCTTTCCAGGGGTAACCAGGAGTATGGAATGCAGACTTGGCATGGAAAGAGGTGGCTTTGGTGGTAGAGTTGGTTAATGCCAGCATTTCAGGAGCCTCTGTGTCTTCCGGCCCCCTGAGTCTGTGCTCCCCGACTGGAACAAATGCTGAAGACCTAACCCCACTGTCTAGCTGGGTGCTGAGGATGGCTTCTGGTGTCACTTCTTTCTGTAGGATTGGTTTCTGGGGACCCTTGTGGGTCCCCCGGGCCTGCATCTCTAGGTTCTCTTTGGCATCTTCTTTTGTAGAGCCCTGTTGAGACTTTGGATCGAAGCTGGAGAGTCCATTTGGGAGAGACTTGGAAGCGGCTGGCTTTGAGGTGGGCTCTGGCTGGTGGGACTGCTTAGGGTCCAGCGAACTAGATTTGGGACACTTGGGGATGCGATCTTGCTCTGACACCAATGTGATAGAGTTTTTGCAGAGACCGTACTTCATGTGGTTGAAGAGATGCGACTTCTCGTTGCACGTGAAAGGACACTGGAAGCATTTGTACTTGAAGGGCTTTCCCGGGGGCCGAGGAATATAGTGTGGTTTCTTTGGTTTCCGTTCCTTTAGGAGACTCATTGTCCTCTGTATCTGGACTCTGGTCTGTTCAGTCTGTGGTCACTGCCGATGACTCTTTGCCCAGGATGCGATGGTCTTGAAGGAGGTAGTACCGGTCTGTGTTCTTGCTCTGAGCACTTTATCTGCGGTCAGCCCCATGTGCCGGGGGTCTAACAAGGGAAATTCCTTCCATCAGGCACCTAGAACTGTGAAGGCAGCAGAGACTGGTGTTAGGGGCAGTTAGCGGGTCATTGTCGGCACTGCCACACTATAGACAGACAAGGAGCCTAGAGCTTTCGGAGAGTGGGTGACACCCGGGTCCCTACCCGCCTGCTCTGCATTTTCTCAAGCCTGACCTGCAAGAGCTGTCTGGGGACCAAGGGAGCAGCGTGCTGAAGGCGATTCTTTGAGTTTTGGGGGCCTTTATTCTGCAATCTGGACCCTTCTTTGGTCAGTTTCTATGGGGTTTCTGATAGGATTCTGTACCAGAGCCTCTTTCCCGAGTGCTGTGTGAGAGCAAGCATCTAGGGGATAAACTGCTATGGTTGTTCAGTGCCACAAGGCAGCTTGGCCCTGCTTAGCTGTGTTACTGCTGTGCTTTGTGTTATTATTAGTGAATATTTAAAAATGAAGAGTACTTAAGAACATAGGACTTTGCCCTGCTGCTTCTAAAATCACAGATGAAAAGCCCACTTTATCGGCAGGTAGTACTTGCTGATGTTGGGGTGGTGATCACATAGCTTCATACTTGCTGGGTGATTGCTATAGCACTGAGCTACATCCTCAGCCCTAGTAAGCAGTAGCATTTATGTTGACTCAAAAAATGCGAACGCTTTATTTCAGTAGACTCGGTTTGCAGGTCCGCTAGCATGATTCACAAGTCCCCACGACTCTATGCCCTGGCACTCATCAGCATTTGGGAGTAAACTCATAGATTTGCCCCTCCTTTCCTTGGATATGCCATCTCAAGAGACTGGGGCAGTGGTGTTCAGGCAGAGGGAGGAAACTATTTTGCCTCAGGTATATCCAGCTCCTAACCCAAAGCTGAGCACGTAGCGAAACCGCCTGCCTGGACATCTGGGCGACTCTAGATGGAGCTTGGGCATGAGATGATCTGTGTAGAATATGTGAAAAGAGAAAGATCTGCTAAGTATTTTAAACACTTAAAAGTAACACTTAGTGGAAATTATTTAAGAAAAGTGTTCTCAGCTTTAAAACTAAGTTTGTGAGAAAAGTGCAAAGCTATGCCCTCTAGTCCTAGCCAGACACTTGTCTGCCAGCCAGACCCTTAGAAACAGAAGCAGCCACTAAAGTCTTACTCTCTCTTGTCTGCCTCCCCTGTCCTCAGTGTGCGTGTGTATGGTGGGCAGTGGGGTGGAGTGGCCGGCCACAAGAGCAAGTTCCTTATTTCTACTTGTATACTTTATATTCTGAGGATGTATCTGGTTTTATTTATTTTTTTCTTCTAATTTATTTGTCTCTCTGTGTAAATATATACTCCATGCATAATATATAAAAATAAATTACACACACACACACACACACACACACACACATATATCAAACACAAAGAACTATGCCCAGCATTGTGGTGCACATCTGCAATCCCATGTAGGAGACGCTAAGGCATAGGGTCTCAGGTTCAAGACCTGCCTGTGCTGCTTAGCAATTTTTCCCCCCCTCAAAACAGCAGGAGCAAGCCCACAAAGAGCTAAAGTGCCCTTCACCAGCTACCCTAGTACCGTAATTTAGGGCTGTTGTGTTAAGTGGTTGTTCTGGAGAATGGTGGCTCATCTGATACTGAAAGCAATCCACTGTGAGCGTCTGTATCCGGAGAGTGAAGCACAGATTTTAGATAAGAACATCAGGTGCCCATGGCTGGAAGGAAGCTAGGACCCTAGGCTTCTTTTGGGCATGGGGGAGACTAAGACTGTCAAAAGGGGTGCTGCCTGGACCAGAAGCTATGAGGCACACTGTCAGAGCTGAGCATGTTAACAGGAAAAGCCCTGTGACTTTCTCTTTTTCTCTCTCATTAAAAGGAAAATGGAAAGAAATTCTCTGTGGGCCCCGCGTGAACCTGGAGTACATTTTCCCTGCCTCCGTCAGGGAACCTGAGAAGCCTTGTCTGACTAGCTGATGAGGGCATCTCGATAAGTCAGTGAGGCCTGTGCTGGCATGTTCATTACACTCTTGATTCTGAAGGCGTGAGAACCTCTGCAAGACAGGTTCCCATGGCTGTATAGGATATGTCATGGCACAGATCTGAGAGAGATGATTTCATCACTGACTGGGAGCATCATGATCAAAATGATGACAGTTGCAAACATTTATCGAGGGTGAGCTTCTTCCCAGTTGCTGAGTATGGACACGGGGACTGCACTGTGTGTCCTGGATAAGCTAGAAAGTCCCTTCCAGACGTAAGGAAGTAATGATGGGCCTTCAGAAGCAACCTTAGGGAATGCCCCTGAAGTAAGCACACCACTGTGGCTAAATAAACACACTGTCATTGTAAGGTTTTCCTATGTCTCTCAGGAGGCAAGTGTTTTACAAAGCGCCATATGTTGTCCTAAAGAGTAACTTAGGAAATAATTATTATGTATGTATAAAGTTACATATGTAATGTATTAAATTATTAAAGTATAATATAAAGTAAAATGCTATCTGAAGTTTTGGTTTGAGCCTTTTGCCTTTTTATTTTTTAGCCTGTGAATCCTCAGGCTGGGTGGGATAAGCCCCAGCGGCTCTTGGGCAACTGTTCTTGGGTGAGACGATTTACTGAGGTTTATTAAAACTGGAAGGGAACGAGTATAAAGACGGAGTCTCAGCTGTAGTACTTTCAGTAACTGTGTATAAACTGACCCCTCGGGATTTCACAATTGCTAATTAAGGCAGAAGCTCGCTGCTTGGAGGCAGGTGTAAGACGGGTGTAACTCATCTATAAAACTCCTGTGTTAGAGAAGTAAGTGGGATAAAATTGATGCTTTTGTAAGCTTTCGGATGATGATGTCAGCCTGTGAGTTCTCTGTCCTACCCAAATGAGGTTTATGAATATGAAGAAACTAACCCACAACCATGACTGCAGCCAGGCACATATGTCTGTGGCCATGGAGGCTTGTTCCAAGTCCTGTTTGGTCAGTTTATACCTGCCGGACTTTGTACTGTCTGGCAGCCTCTAGTGTTAAATATTCCCCAAAGTGCACATTGTTGCCAAAACAGTAAAGCCTAGACCTTTGACTGTTTACAGTAAGTTTGGATTTGTATTCAGGGGAAAGCTCTTTCTAAAGGCAGTAAGAAGGGTATGTGGCTGTCTCTTTTTCGGGGCGTGCCTGTTACTACTTTGGGAATACAGCTCTGGAAGGCTATATGTGGAGCTGTGACTGTCTGAGAACTGTAGTGTTAGCATGTTAGGTGCCCCAGAGGAGTTTTACCTGGCACCCCACCCTCCTCCCCTTCACTTCCTATACGATGGTCAGGGGGTTCTGAGGGTGTGTTCCCACAGACATCCAGCCTGGGTCAAGGGCTGTTGGTAGAGAGTTCCTAGGTATCCTCTGTCTTCTTGGGGAAGCCCTTTTCTCAAGCATGCCTCCCCAGACCACCTTGGCTTGAGACTTCCTTTTCTGAATCCTCTTGGGATGCAGTAGAGACTATACAACACGACAGTGACCTAAAATCGTGGACAGTGTCCAGCTTGAGACCCGTAAGCTCTGTCCTAATTTTCTGCTGACATAAATCAGCCGTGTTTGTTGAGACTCGACCAGCTCTTATATTCAACTGCTTGACTTGGCCTTGGAAAGGACCCTGGGCTGAGAACACCTTCCTTCTGCCCACAGTGTGCCATCCGGGATACCTGCCCACACAGCGAGCTCTGGGTGGTTTCGGTTGGCCACAGAGTTCTGTTTGTCTTTAAAGCACTCTAGCAGGTCCCTAAGTGTGTGGACCTGAAACATAGCTGCCAGCGTCAAGGCAGCAGTGAGTGGCTTGCAGGTTTTAAAAGTTTGTAAGGGGCTTGCACTTAGAAAACCGACGAGAGAAAGAGTAATTTAAAGGAACCCCGGTAGGACACAATAGAGGTAATTACAGCTTTGCTCTATAGGACAGCGATTGACAGGCTGAGCAGCTATGTTTGTCCTGTGACTTGACCTGCAAAGCAAGGCCATGCTGTAATAGTCCTGGTGGTGTCCAGCTGTCTGGCACAGAGCCCCGCAGGTGGAACGTCGTGAAGGGCATGCTATAATTACAGCACTGTGATGTGGCGTTATTGCACCACTCAAGGGCACGCCACTGTCGTCTACCCACTGGGGTGTCGCAAGAACGAGATCTGTGAGTTTTACTTCAGTTGAGTGTTTGCTGTGACTGGCCGCCACTCCCTCCCAAACTTTCTGTTCCTTGAGATGAAGGTGAACTTAGGACGGCCATATCCTTAGAGGAAAGCAGTTTTCTAGACTGTGTGGAAGAAAAGATCCAGAAAACAGATGGGTTCGGTTGTGTTGGCACACGGTATACACAAAGCTCCCAGGCCAGCACTGCACCAGTGATCACCTTGCCTCTTGTTTCCTTAACACACATTCTGAAATACCAGAGAGCCTTTTCTAGTGCTCAGAAAGCACCGGGATGGCAAATGTAGGTGGCTCTGCCTAAACGAAATGTGATTTGGTTGGAATTGGCCGATTATTTGATCAGTAATTATTTTCATACAGATTTATGGGAACTTTCATATAGGAAAAATACCCTCCCGCCCCGTATGTGTAACCTTAGCAACCAAACAAAAGCTTAAACTTTGTTGGCTTCTTGGTTTTGAAAGGTTTTGTCGAAGCAGCACTTATTTTAAACTTGAAGTCTTAAGTATTAAACTAGAAGTGAAACCCAGCAGTTGTACAGTTATTTTTCTATATGATATATGATTTTTGCCTCTTTTATGTTGAAATTTATTGTAGTTTGTTTGAAAAGTAGGAAACAGTTAAGTGCTAGTATATATACATGTTTTGGTTTATTTTTAAAATAAATTTTATAGCAGAAAGGAGGGCTTGATTTTTAAATAAGCTTGCTCGTATTT